TTGAAAACAAAAGTTTGTTGATTCGATTTCCTCTCAGGACAAATCATTGTGTAATGAGTATGATTGTTTATCTGTCTGAGTGTAACTTATCTTTATTATATGTGTAATGGAAAAATACAGGTACACATCTTTCTGTGCTGAGCCTATGTCTACTTGGAGAGGATTATTTGCGGTTGATAGTTTTTTTTTTTTTTTTTTTAAAGACAACGCCCGCATTAGGAATAAATCCTGTGTCGCGGGGGACTTTACAAACATACATGAAACGGACACAAAGGACACCCAGACTCAGAACAACAATTTTTGGATCACACAAAGTGTCGTCCCATGTGGGGTTTGAACCCACAACACAACACTTGATTGTATCATTCAACACCTGCAGTTCTGATATAAGTTATGTTGAGTTGGAGTATAATCAATGTTGTATTATTATTTTATATAGCTAGTTCCTTATTCTTTTACTGTAAATTTGCTAGACTGATTCTTCATCATCAACAGCCTTTAATAGTCCACTGCTGGACATAGGCCTCTCCTTAGAAAGGAGGCTTTGGCCTACCCACGCTGGCCGGACGGGTTGGTATAGGGTTTGTGTTAAGTTTTCCTTCTCTTTGCAGTGTTGTTGTCTTGGGTAGTTTACTGCCTTAGTTGGCTCTTACGACACCCAAGGGATGAATAGGGGTGGTGACACTCGGTCACTGATTTCTATGCTAATAAATATCCGAACGATATTTGTGTCTTGTTTTTCTTGATGGGATCGACCTTCGACACCAGGGAGAACTATAGGCTGTTAGACTTATATAACCGAGCTGTACCCCTGGCATTTATGGTTGCAAAAAAAAACATCTCTAAAGCTTATTGTATATTGTGTCTAAATTTGAACTCAATCAGTGCAGAACTTTATGAGTTTTTGAAATGTACACAAGTTTTTTAACAAGCAAATTTTGCTTGCTCAAATTGCCCTTCAAAGATTGTTTTAATCTATTTGTCGCGCCAGTTTTTTCTAATTTCTTAGCAATAGAACCACGATGTGTTTTTGAGTTTTTGAAGTGTAGTATGATAACTTAAAATTGATATAGAAAAGTCTCTCTGCCTAATTTGTGCTCAGAAGGCCGTGTGTGAGGTCATTTAAAAAAAAAAAGATCAAATTAACACTAATAGTGAACACACACAAGAGACTGTTAAGACTTGTAGGTACGTAAAAGGAAAATTTACAGAAACTACAGTTAAGTAAAAATATTATTATTATAAAGGCAGGCAGTTGAAACAACCGATAAATGCCTGTATCCTTCCTTTGAAATTCCTATTAGTTGTCTTTCTTGGATTCAATTACATATCATCAATTATATATTAATTAGATCAGGTCTTTCTTTTTTTTCTTCTTTTTTAAGTAGGGAAAGCCTTACGCTCCCAACTCTCTAAGGCAGCACTAATGGTTGTATATCACTGTGATTGTATCTCTTGCTTTTAAGGTGTATGTTCTTGTTGGTTGTCCAAATAAATAAATAAACGACCGGATGTCGTAGTGGTTTGCGTAACGGACTGCTATTCCAAAGGTCGCGGGTTCGATTCCCGCTCAAGTCAAACATTTGTGTGCATAAACATTTGATGTTTGATTTGGTCTGGGGTTTTCTATGTATAATATGTGTGTATTTACAAAAAAAGATATACTTTTTATTGTAAATACAAAATGAACTATACAATCTATACTATACTATATGTCTAGAACTTATAGGAAAAGCTCTGCTTAGTTTGAGACTAGATGGAGTTGTGTGAATGTGGTAGAATATTATTAATATGAATTCCATAATGGATTTTTAAGTGGTTCAAATTTGGGGCAGATTTAACATCATCTTCAATCATGTTAAATAATAATAATAATAATAATAATATATCTCACACATCTCACACACGGCCGTCTGATCCCAAACTAGGCAGAACCGGTACTATGGTAACCAGACTGCTGATAAACATACTTATATATTTTTAAAATAGATACATATTATAGATAAACTACACCCAGACACAGAACAAAAGACCATGCTCATCACACAATATTTGTCCTGGGTGGGAATCGAACCCACGACCTCTGGATTAGCAGTCAGGGTCACTAACCACTAGACCAACAGGCCATATGATCTGACTACACGATTGCTTAAGGAGTGTTTGTGAGGATTGATGTTCGAGAAGCTGATACATAGCTTAAATTTGTGGCCTGTTAAATGAGTATTATGATTTCTTATGTTATCAAACTCTTGAAGGTCATACTGTCCATTTGGGATCGTATATGTTTCAAATAAGTCTATTCGATCTCTGCGATCCTTTAGCGTTGTGAGTTTTAGGATCTTTAGGCGTTCCTCGTACGGTCGTTCTTTTAGTGATCGTGGTATCTTAGTAAAACTGCGTTGTACCTTCTCAAGAAGTTCTTAAGGAAATATGGGCTCCAGATCTGGAATGCATACTCCAATGTTGATCTGACAAATGTTTTGTAAATTTAAAGCATCATTTCTGGTGTTAGAACGCCTAAGGCCGTTCTAATGAGGTAAATTAAGCTTTTAACTTTCTTATCAATCGATGTTATAAGTTTTTCTCATTTCAAGTTATCTGTCATTGCTACTCCAAGGTCTGCACCTTGGCCTCCCTCAGCTCATAGTGATCTAACTTTTTAGGCCAGACGGGGATCCCGACGACCTATATGCAATACCGTGCATTTTGAGTCATTAAGATTTATGAGCCATTCCTTAGACCAGTTCGCTATTGTGTTTAGATCTTCTTGCAGTAGTCAAGGAGTAGGTTTGCAAATATTTTTGTATCATCCGCAAAAATGCTGACACTACACTGCAGGCAACACGGAAGATCGAAGGTGTATAACACAGGGCCCAGTACTGAGCCCTGCGGCACACCACTATAAATTTTGCGGTACCTTGAGAAGGTTTCGCCTATACGCACTTTAAGGGTTCTTTGTTGTAAGAAAGCCTCAAACCATTTCAGTAGCTTGCCGCCTATGCCATCATGTTTTAGTTTTTGGAAAAGTCTTTGTGTAGGTACCTTGTCAAACGCTTTTTCGTAATCCAGGTATATTACGTCGATAGGTTCTCTCTAATTAAAATGTTTAGTCCACGACGACAAGCCTGATACCAAGTTGGATTTTTACACCGATGAGAAAAAAAGCCATGCTGCTGTTCAGGAATAATTCTGTGTTTAGCAACAATTTTTTTTTTAAATATCTATGTATACCACACTGGTCAAGCTGATGGGTATATCTGAATATGGGTGATCACTGATGCTGTTTTCTACAAGTCTGGTAAAATCTTGGTGTCATATGAAGTTTCATAATAGTTGCCAGCATGTCACTGATGTCACACTTTTGCTGGGATGTCGTCTCGTCCTGGTGCCGAACCTGTTTTCATTTCTTTTAGTGCTAGGCTAATACTTTCATTGCTAAATTTAATATCTTCTATGGAATCTTCTATATGGAGTAGTGGGTCTAAATTAGGTAGCTGATTCTGTGGTTCTATTTGAAAGACACTTGCAAATTGATCTGCAAATACCTCAGCTATGTGGTGTGGCTGAGTAACTTTTTCTCCATCCGTATTGAGTGTTTAGTTTTCTGTAGTCCTTTAAATGCATTTCTAGTCCTGTCAGCACCTATTTATTCCATAGCTTCAGTTTATCGGTTATAATTTTGGTTATTTATTTGACTGATCTCATTTGACACAACGGTTGAGTCAAATCGGCAACATAGTAAGTGTGTTTTGTGTATCTGCAGAAGCTTGGTGTTGGCATTTCCTCAACTAAATTACTAATGTACTTGTACTGTAGCTGTAAGCTCCCCAAATAAAATAATATATCATATTTTCCTACAATATGACAAGTTGTAGGAAAATATGAAATTTTATTTAATTTATAATATATTGCATAATAACTACACAGAGTTTTAATAAAAATATCACCAGCCAAGCTAAAGTAACCATTAAACATTAAACTTTTGTATTGTGAATCATATGAAGTAACGTCAATATATTTATTATCTTTTATGGAAACATGAATATAGAATTAACCACAGATACTTACATATCCTTATTTCATGGTATGACTGTACTTCTACTAATAGCATAACTAAATTGGTACTTATTACTAAATTGGTTAATTATTTTTTAGTCAATTGCTTTACGGAATAGCAGTGGACAAGTGTAAAGAAACAACAAGCATTAGCAAGCACCTCACTCGGACCAATTTATTAAATTAATTACAATTTTATTATGCGAGCAGTAAAATGTTATAAGACCAAGATATTTAGTTTAAAATAATTACAACTATGTTAAATTTTAATTTAATCATGAAGTAGCCAAAAAAATGTAGACAATTAATGACAAAAAGAACGCTTGAAGAAAGTTTTAAATATAATCAACAGATGCAGCAGCAATAACTATTAGAACTGTTTTATAACATTAAATCTATTTCATCATCATCATCATCATCATCATCATCATGAGCTTGTAATACTGCTGGACATAGGTCTCTCTTCATAAAGGAGGTTTTGGCCTACTATGGCATACTGCCCAGACAGGTTTGTTTCAAGTTTTCCTTTTCTTTGCAGTGCTGTTGTTGTGCATAGTTAGCTCTGTTATTTGGCTCTTATGACACCCACAGGATGAATAGGGGTGGTGACACTCCATACTTAATCTGTCATACCACACAGGCAATAACCTTCTACTAATATAAGAAGTGCAGAGTAGGAATTTGGTCACTTCAAAGTAAATAACTTAATTGTGGAAACTCAAATCAGTGTTGACATATTATAAAATGTATGTTCTTGTCTATGCATTGAAGGTTGCAATATGATTGCTAATTGTATGGATAAATAATCAATTTATAGTAAAACAGAGGTAGAACATAAACAAAATGCAAAGAATTTTAATCTCCCAAGTACTTTGGCATGCGCAAATCGACTATAAGTCAATAGCATTGTTGATAAACTTCCAAACCAGTTTAAGAATTCTTACCTAAACCAGAAGACTGTATAAGTTCTGAGTCATCGAATTCCAGACTCGGTTCGTAGTCGTGGTACTCCGAAAGACTCGTGTAACTCTCATCTGGGTCAGGGTTGCAGCCGTGAAGAACTAACATAGGGAAAAACATAATTAGTCTCGCACACAATGACTTGATCAATTTAACGGTACTATTTCCACATTATTTACCTTGGAAAGCTCTCACGGGGTTCAACTTTGGTTGGTGTTCAGACTCCATCGTCGAAACACCCACACCCACTATTGTTATCACAAACTTACTATAAACCAAATGATGCGAAATACAACTGCGAAAAAGTCAGTTCCTATGTTTTTACACCCCGTTGGCACATCAGTGACGTTTCACCACCATACACAACACCAAATGAGTTCAATTACGATTTAAAGTAAACAAAATATGTTGCCACCAGACAACAATTCTTACGGTTGGGAATGCAAAAAATGTTTTTATAATTTTATTCGTGTATAAATCTTGCAAAGTGACAGTCGGAACCACAGTACACAAACGAAACGTAAACGTTAACAGAATAAAAAGTTCTTAACGAGTAACTTAATAAAGAACAATGCTTCCATATATGTTTGAAAAAGTGTTGTAAAATATTAGGTTTTCATAACCAACTCAGATTTTAAAAAATATGGTAGCTGAATTAATTCTGTGCAATTATTTTTCGCAGGGTAGAATAATTTTATAACCGACTTCAAAAACACAAAAGCGGAGGTTATCAATTCGGCTGCACTTTTTTTTCTATTTATATTTATTTTGAGCTGACGTTTGTGGGTATGCATATGATTTGGAATGGTGATGTTTTTTTTAGGCTTAATTAGGCTAGTGTAGGTTGATGTGTGTAGAAATGTTTATTAAATTGTATAGTTACTTAATGTTCCTTTTTAATCTGTAATTTGAAAACTTTTGACTTTAGATTTAGAATGTAAGATTTATGTTCCCTCGATTTCTCTGTGATCCCATCGTCAGATCTTGATTTCTCTTGCGTAGAGTTTTTGGGACTGCTCTGGTGCTGCCTTTGTAGTTTTTATCGTACCATTTACTCTTTCGCCTTATGTGACCATTTAAAAAAAATGCGCCTTAATGTTTTATGGTCACTCGGGATTACCGTGAAATAGCCTATGAAATGGCGAAAATTATGGTGTGATAGTTGGGAAACAAACAAAGTGGCTGGAATGGATTGGCTTTGAGGGTTCCGTGAGTGATTCCCCGACAGGTTATTGCGCAACCAGAAACCTGCAGCTAAGCAAGGGCAACGGCCTTTAAAAGAGAAACTATTAAAATTTTCTTTGACAATCTTCAAAATGTGCTTGGTCGTAGCGCATATAAAACGAGCACTGTTCAGCAAAATCCGAGAGTTTTAGCTCATAAAGGTCAAAGGAATATCTGCAAAGTAGTGTTACCTACGCTAGGCACAACGTGCAACATCATAAGTGCACGAGGTGTTGCACTTCCTCCCGCATTGGTCTTCCCAATAAATCCTAGCATGAGAGTTGGAACACCACCTGTTCTCTTATTCTCCCGTCTCCAACAGTGTGGATGAACCATGAAACTTTTGTAGAAGTGATGAAGCATTTTGTGCTGAGCTCAGGATCTACAAAAGATTCTCCAACAATTCTCATAATGGATAAGCATGAATCACATTTATGGCAAAAGAGTCTGGGGTCATTGTGCTGGCTTTACATACACATACATCAGCAAAACTTCAGCCGTTAAACTTCGGCATCGGCACTTGTAAACCAGGGGCTGATCTATTCTGCACCACCCTATGTACACATCACACACATCATCAGCCTATCGCAGTCCACTGCTGGACATAGGCCTCTCCCATTGCACGCCACTTAGATCGATTTTGGGCTTCTCGCATCCAGCAGTGGATTAATTAAGCTATTTAAAAAAAAACATTATTTCGCCCAGTTATCCTAAGTATTACCGAATGCTATGTCGTTGTGGTGTTTGGTGTTTTTAAAAACATAATATTAATTAATTATCGAGATCATTACAATATACAATTGCCCTTTACAGCATTTGATTTCAATTAATTTCTTAAATTTCCAAATAAATAATTTACTTAAGTTTTGATTTTGTTAATTTCTACATATTTTTTCGATTAATGTTCTTATATAATACATAGGCACTTTGATCTATTTTGAAAAGTTGATTTTGTAGGAATTTTCTATTAGGAATTGTTTTGCACATTCTTTTAACATTTGTTTTTTTTCAGTCTATAATAACAGCTGAATGTAAAGCTGTCGGAAACTTAGCAATCGTGAAGGTTAAAGGTAATTGCAGAGCACCTATCAAGTGCTGACATTAGCAGAATGACGCCTTCTACCCCAGGCCTCGAATGCTATGTTTAAAAAAGGGGGTGTGCCGTTTCGCAAGACAAGAAATAGTTCGTGCCGCTTGTTCCCGTGGCCAGAGTCTTAGCCGCCAATGGGAATTTAAACTGGTGTGGTTATTTTTACCACCCAATAAGATCTCCCAAGGAATTCTCACCTGAATGTGACGAGGGTTAGTTAATACCTCGTAATGTTATAATAATTAGCGCAGGCTATTTCTTTCTTAAGTAAAAATGTGGTGTGGCTAGTATGTTTTTTATTATTTTTTCTATTTTTTATGTTTCACTTCATTTTCTCTTGTATTCGTTTGTTCTTCTTAATCTTGTTTTCTCTTCGTTGTTTTTTTCACCTTTAAGTCCTTAATAACGGACATACTAGCACACATCAAAACAATGTTGTGATATATTTAATAGTGCCATTGTATCTACTTGTGAATTGCAAAAGAGTGGCCATGAGTTTGTTTGCCCTTTCTTCTCATAAGGCTCAACCCCTTGGAAACGGGCGGTTGTAGATCGGCACAGGCATATCATAGATTTTGTATGGGTTTGATTTTGTTAAATTTATTTGGTTACTATTTGACAAAACAGAGATTGTTGCTTTTGTGTGTGTTGATCTATGACTTTAGAGTCTACATGGAAGACGATTTCAAACAATTTTGAAAATTTTATGAAATAAAGAAAGTTTGAGTTTGAGTTTGAGTTTGAATGGTTCCTTATTAAAACTAGTATTTTTGGCTGCCAGATCTCGTCTCGTATCTTGATGGAGCCGTTCCTAATCCTGTAGCTGTAGAAGATACTTATAGATCAGACCAAAACAAAGCCACTGCCAATCCCGTTCTTAGAAACTTAGAGTATTAAGAGGCCAGACTATGGGTCTCCGTCCACCACAAGTAGATTGTTTGTAACTCCAAGCTCTGGTGTTTGGGGATGGTTTAAACTAAAAAAAAAATGTGATCCACTCGCCAGATAAAGAAAAGCCTACTATGAAATAAATGTTATTTTTATTATTATCAACTAGTATATAGTTCGAACCAACCCCGAACACTAGAGCTTGGAGTGTAATTGCATTCACCTCAATGCCTAGGCCAAAAGCTTCTTTCTAAGGAGATGTCTATGTCCCACAGTGAACTACTGAAGGCTGTTGATAAATAGGTTGTTACCTAATTAGTTGCACTGGCAAGGGTATACCTTTTATAGCAGAACTTTTTGGAACGAAGTTCCTTATCGCGCGTTTAGAAAGGGGGCTAGACGGAAAAAAATTCGTACGAAAATTTGTCACGACACTTTTACTTTAAATTGACGTCTAACTGTGGATACCATACATTAAATTTGCTTTAACGTTCGCCAACGTCCATACCATGTTGAATACACCGGTTCTCGTCCGATCACCGAAGTTAAGCAACATCGGGCGTGGTTAGTACTTGGATGGGTGACCGCCTGGAAATACCACGTGATGTTGGCTTTTTGCTCTTTATTTTCGTGTCATCTTGTCAGACATTCAGCGCCATCTATCGAATAGATAGGAAATCATTTCGCAAGGAGATTTTTACCAATGTATAAATTGTTTTAATTGTTTTTAATATGTAGATAATAGCCGCTTTTATAGATGGCGTTGTAATTAAAATCGTGTCAAATGAGTTTTACTCGATCGTCACAACTTCGTTCCTATCGGGTGTCCCACGACACCACACGGCTTTTTTATGTCATAAAAACAAATAGCATAAACTTCATTTCGCAGATAAACGGTTGGCAGACACTCATTTATTCTACATTCAAAATTCATGATACGCGGTCTTAAATTACACTCTAGAAGTAGGGCAAACAAGATTACGTGGAGTCGGTTTTGCAGCGATTCGCTTCTGACATAAACATTTTTTTTATCATTTATTTATTTTTTATTGTGAAACATAGGTATACTTACTTAGGATGTTTACAGTACACGAATGATCAACTATGTTCTGCCTAAATGGCAATAATTTAAAATTTTATTTAATGACTAAAAATAATGACATTGAATTATCGAAATTAAAGCAATAAAAAATTCACTTTGATTTTTCATACCTTGGAATTTAAAACATGCAAAATCAATGTTTTAATCTTCTAAATTTGTAGGAAGACATATGACTTTTTAAGAAAAAAAATAAGTTTAAAAATTCTATTTTACGGCAATATCATGCCTAATAAAATTAATCCAATTTAAATTGTACCAAATAATCATAGCTCTAAATAAACGTTATGCTAAACGAAATTATACGAAATTTTAACTCCACCAAAAATTCATAATTTTACAATATATATTGGACCTAGCAAAGCGCCCTATTATAATATTACTTTTAACTTCAGGACGGAAACGACGTTTAATTTTATCGAGTTCGTGGAATTATAAAAAAATATATCATAATTTTGTAAAAATCTAATTGTATTAGAAGATATAATCATTTCATAGCCCAGATTGGGTACAGACTAACACTGCTAGCATCCTGGATCCTTATTATAACACTCTAATTTTAGGTTTGCCGGTGCCCTTAATGAATGAAATGAGGGCAATATTGTGGTAAGTTTATTAAAAAAGTGTTAGACCCAGAGGCAGATTATCCCTAAGGCAAAGCCTAGGGACGCGAGATTACAAAGGGCCGCGCGCGCAGCGTTTTTAACAAAGATAAAATATATGCCTAACCTAAAAAGAACTTTGTCGGGAAGTATGCATACTTACACAATATAAACAGTTCTTTAATTCTATCGAGATGTTTAAGGTGAAATTAAGGGTTTATTAATAGCAATAACCACCTCCTTCTGCGAGCAAGTATGCTCGGGAAGCAGAAGGCGCAGCGGGAACTGAAGAACCTTAGAATTCTCCTGGTCCAACAGGTCAAGA